CAAGTTACTGGGGGGAATCTCCACGACTTCTAGAACCGATCTCCTCAGGCACTTCCTTATGGGGTTGCTAATTTCGTCAGAGATGAAGGGAATCAGGAACGGAATTTTCTCCGTCATGGGATTGCCTTCTGGTCTTATAATGACAGCACCGCCACCTATTCTGGTTCGATGTGTACGTGGGGGATGGTCGTAGCCGTTGAGTGCAGCATTTCGTGTGCCATTTTCACAGACTGCTTCTTTTCAGCTTCTCCGGTGGAAACATTTACAGCAGTTCGGAACATGTTTTTGACGACTGCTCGCTTTGTTTGGAGAGGGTGCGCTGATCGAAAATGAACAATGATATTTTTGCTGCTTGGCTTTCTATACCATCTTGTGAAATGGGTGTGACCCTCAAGCTTAACCTGGACATTCAGGAAGGGGAGCCAATTATCGGCTGGCTTCTCGCGTGTTAGCCTGATGTGTTCGGACTGCTCGTTCATTAGGTTGAAACATGCATCCATCTCCTCCTGTGTTGAACAGACTATGAAGCAATCATCGATGTAGCGACAGTAAAGCAGTGGGAGTCGTTCCAATATGGGACTTTCTATTTTAGCCATAAAAGCAATGGCCAAAGTAGGTGCCAACCGTTGTCCCATAGCTAGGCCTCTAGTCTGCGCAAAGTACGTTCCTGACCATTTGAATATATTGCAGTTAAGGCATTCTTTGACTAGTAGCATTATTTGGTTTATGGAAAGCCCATGCATGTTAACCACGTCGCGATGTTGATTGAGGAGCTCAAAAATGGCTTCCATGGCTGCGGTATTACTTACGTTGGTATACAAGGCTTCCACGTCAAAGGACTCCATAACGCACGAGTTGTTTAGATCCAATCTTCTGAGATGATTCAGGAACATCTGGGTATTTGTGAGGTGCGATGGTATGAATTGGAGCAGTTGTGTTAAGATATTGGTAAGGAACCACGCAATTCTGTCAGTAGGCCCTCCTACGCAACTTATGATTGGTCTGACCTTCACTGCCGACGCGCTTATTGAAGTTAAGTCTTCGGTCGCCAGTAGCTTGTGCGTTTTTATGAGCAGATAAAGTACGGGACAGCAAGGGGTATCAAGTTTGAGGCGAGTAATCAGGCTTGGGGTGAAACCCGCTGATCTCGCCACAGTCACCCATACTCGATTCAGCTTACGCCATTGCGATTGAAATTCTTTAGCTGAAGATGGCCGATAGAGGGAAGTGTCCCCAAGATGTAGCGCTGCTATGTCGCGATTACCACGAATTCTCCCCCTTTATCACTCACGGATATTCTGATGGTGTGAGATTTGACCAATACTTGAAGCTCCTTGAGTCCACGTAACTGTGCACGTGAGAGATTTGATGGCAAGTCACGTCTTTGGTTCCTGTTAAGAACATTAAGTACTTGATCGGCAAAAATCCTAAAATTGGCATCCGAAACGGCATCGGACTCTTGCTGCTTGAAGTGAAGTACTGGGGAAGGGGATGTGAAGAGCAGTCTCAGCCTGATTCAGCGCTATATCACCTCTATCAATCTTGGCCTTGTAACGAAGACGATCTTGGAGTTCATGTAGACTGCATATCATTTTGCGCATAACTAGCATAGACATGGGTTGTGTTGGTGAAAAGCTGGGACCCATCTCTAAAACGGAACGCGCATTATCGGAAAGTTGGAAGTTTCCCAGAACGGTGACTCTGCATTGCGATACGTTCGACTGTCTTACCGTACTGGCTGCTTGACCTACAGAGATCTGATTAGTCCTGGTGTATGACCTCCGTGTTGGATCACGCGACGAATTCAGAAGATCATCGAACTTCCTTTGTAAGGTAGCTTTGACATTAGACCGTATATGATCACAAATCGATTTGGACCCACCCACTATTCTCCTCCAGAGACGATCATCCAAATATTGGGCACAAAACTGTTCTTTTGATACACACTTCCTCAACATAGCAAACATCTTATCACGTTTCGTCCGCAGCGCAATTCGAAGAAGACGTATTTCGATGTACAATACTTGTTGATCGGTCCTTGGGTCGTTGAATAGATCTCGCAGTCGTTTGTTCGAGATAAACTTTGGAATGAGGCGATGATCCAGACAGCGTTTGAGAAAGTGGATTGATTGGCGGGCCAACACAATTCTCTGCCTTAGAGACAAGACTTCTCTGACGAGTCGATGATAGTTAGTTGGCACATTGCGAAGTAACTGCCACGTTCGGCTCTCAATGAACCTCGGCATCAAAGATATAATAGTTTAACGATTTATTTCAAACTGCTCACGAGGTTGTTATCAAAACCTTTGTTAACCTCTGTTAACCAGTGTTAGTAAAAAACCGTAACACACCCGAACAAAAAACGTAAACTCTGTTAACCCGTGTTAGTAAAGAACCGTAACAGAACCCAAACTAAACACAGTAATACCAGTTAGATTAGACAAACATAAACACTGTGAACCCGTGTTAGTAAGTGAATGACGATAATAAGAACCCGCGTTAGTAACCGAACATTAAATTGATGTGGAAGAAACAAAAAAAGCAGCTACAGTTCCACACTGAATCCATCTAGCGATTCATCTGACAGACTACTATCAGATGAAATGTCTAGTGAGGAGAACATCTCCTCATTGCCAACATTATTATTATTGGCATCCAGCGCCTCTTTAAGCCGTGCGGAGTCCTCCTCCTTCATTGCCTCCCAGCACCATCCCTCGCAGAGACTCCTCGGCACGTTCCTCAAAATCTCGACAGCCCTAATTCTCACCTAAACATTAATAATCGATTGGATTCCGATATTTCTGTTATAAGCATGTTTCAAAAACGTTACTGTCTCCAGCCTATCTGTAGGCTCTTCCCAACTTGTTAAGATGGTGCTTGAGATAACTCCAGCACAGCTCCACTGGGTTAAAAAAGCAGTGAAATGGGGGCAGCCTGAGAAGGCTCACCCCCATTTCCTCACATATTCTCTCCGCTGCATACGTGCGTAGGGCTGAGACTCCGCCTCGACTGGTAACGAAGAGGTCCAGCTAAACTTAGCGTTACAGGACGGTAGCTGACTTCATCTCGATGGACAAACGAACCTCCTCTAAAAGAGAAGCTCTTGTACTATCAAGGCCACTTCGATGCCATGTGAGGAGAGGTAGTCCATGATGTTCCTGCCTCGTGGAGCTCCTGGTCGGAACCTAATGCACACATTTACACAGTCCTGAATAGTGTGTACAAAATTTGTCCTTACCCTCTCTAGTACCCTCGTATGGTAAGGTGCATTGTCGAGTACTAGAGTGACATTCCGACCAGCTGCGAACTTCCCTCATCAGGGGGATTGACGATCGCAGCCATTCTTCAAAAATCGTGTGGTCCATCTCTGAATACTGCGCAGTTCGGGGTCCACAGACGAGAACGCGGGTACAGCCGGGTATGATTCCACCTTCACACAATGCCATAATAACGATGCCGCGCTTCCCTTTATTCTTCCCAGCAGTCTTGCCACAGGAATACTGCTGTATGGTTTCCTCGGAGGGAAAGCGCGACAGGGTGTTGTCCATCCAGCCTCTCTTCTTCACCATACCCTCGAAAACCCACGTCTCGTCCATGTACACCACGCAGTCCCTCTTCTCCTAGCTCCTCGATCTTCCTCAAGTACAACGATCGCTTCCGCGCAAGGTCCGAGCGCTCGAAAATGTAGCGTTGGCCTTTGAGGATCTTGTAAGAGAATCCAAGACCTTTCATAAGCCTCCACAATGACATTGTTGACAACGCAAATTCTGGGTAGGATGTGCGCATTTGCTGGTGCAAGTCCACTATCGTCACGTCTTTCTCTTCCTTGAACATTTCGTGAGCCAGTCGTCTTATACGCTCACCCCACACTGCACCGTGGTTATTCATGGCGGTCATAACCGCCACTTTACGCGAGCGATCCTTGCGAGTCGCTCGCGTAATCGTGGGGCGGACCGGTGTGTTACTAACCCGAGTTACAGTGTTTTCACTCGCCTGCAATGCAGCGCAGAAGCAACCCCCACGTTGAGCACGTTGCTCAGCAACTGGTCGCGTAATGCCAAGCTCCTAAAGCAAATCCATTTAATCAAGGTTTGGCACTGAAAGCGTAGCTGTTCATAAGCCACTCACCCCCACATGTGCACGTGTTCCTGTCTCTCCCGGTTGAACTAACAAATGCGATCGGCTGGCCAACTAAACAAGTTTTCGCTTGCTTATTACTTATTTTGGGAAGAATAACAATATTCAGTCTTACGGAATTGATTGGTCCACTCATCATGACTTTAGTCGAAAATGGGCTTTGAGCTGAAGTGGATCTCCTTCAAGAAGGAACCAAGAAAAAGTTCAACCGAAGCAGCATAGAAGTAGTATACAAGTATACAAACTGGTGACCGCAATAAACACTACTTTAACGAGTATTTTTGACTGATATGCACTGTTTATTGTTAACAAACTACGTTCTACAAAACCAAAACCTTCATGAAACATTTCTATCACCAACTGAAAGTGTGACGGGGTCACGAAATGGTGCCAAAGGACATCACAGAGAGCAAAACAGAAAAATACTGCTCACAACAAAAAAGCGCATATTAGTAATAGAAAAGCTGCGATGAAAATGAAAAGCGACAGTAAGCGAACAAATCTGCACCGTTTCCTCATGTTGCATGCTTTTTGCAGAAGATGCTGTAGTGAAGAACGAGTCGAAAGAAAAAAGGTTTAACCGAAAATAAAAAGGAAACCTTACGCAACACGCAAAAGGACGGCGACTGCAGCACTACCTGGAAAAAGTCATGCACAAAAGCGACAAGTTGCTTCAAAACAGCATCAAATAGTGTTCCGCACAACAAAAGAACACATAAAAGATGCTGTAGTGAAGAACAAGTCGAAAGGAAAAAGGTAAAATGAAAATAAAAAGGAAACCTTACGCAACAACAAAAGGACGGCGACTGCAGCACTACCTGGAAAAAGACATGCACAAAAGCGACAAGTTGCTTCAAAACAGCATCAAATAATGTTCCGCACAACAAAGAGAACATGCAAAAGATGCTGTAGTGAAGAACAAGTCGAAAGGAAAAAGGTAAAATGAAAATAAAAAGGAAACCTTACGCAACAAGCAAAAGGACGGCGACTGCAGCACTACCTGGAAAAAGTCATGCACAAAAGCGACAAGTTGCTTCAAAACAGCATCAAATAGTGTTCCGCACAACAATGAGAACATGCAAAAGATGCTGTAGTGAAGAACGAGTCGAAAGAAAAAAGGTTTAACCGAAAATAAAAAGGA